ATATATAGATATATATATATATATATATATATATATATATATATATGTAATAAGGCCCAGTTGCAGTCGATGCAACTGCAATTCTATTGACCCTTATTTTGCAATAGTTTTTAATTATTCTGCTGTTTACATAAAATATCTTGTTATTTGAAAGCACAAGCAGTTGTAGCCTCTAGCTGTAGCACTTTCTGTGCAACCGGGGGCACTTTCTTTACAAATATCTGTAGTGTTTCTTCCAAAATAGCAATGCAACGTAAAACTAGTTGTGCTGTAAAAGAAAAAATAAAAGCTTTTTCATGAATCACTGTAAAATGTTAGAGTTTGGAGTACGTGTCTGAGCCTCACTCAGAGTGCCTGTTAGCTTGTTAATCTGGCCAGAATTAAACTTTATTTCACCAAACTGGGTAATTCAAAGAGCTCTCTACAACAAAGAAGACATCAAGTTTTCATTAGCTTTCCACAAAAGCCCACTCAAAAAGATCCCAACGATCTTTTCATAGTGTACATTGCTACTGTTTTATTTGGGATGGGCAGTGATTTCTGAAAAAAACATTAAAATGAGCAAGTTTGAAACTGAAAGGACCAATACGAGGGGTAAGAATGCTTGCGGGAAATTTTAATGTTCAATGTTTTAAAAGGAAAAATTAAAAAGGCCACTCCATCTCAGAGGTGAAGATCTCCATCGTCACCCAGAATGTGCCCGTCACTGCCTGCACTGATGCGTAAAAACAGATTTACATTTCTGTCAGCACACTGACCCTGAATCTACCAAACTAGTGTGACGTGATAATAACAGTTTGAAAACATCAGGTCTTTTTTTTAATCTGTACCTGAAGAGGAAAAGTGTTGCTGAGGTTCAGGTTAGTTCCCACGTCACGTCAAAGAGCACGCTGCTCGTCGCCAACACCTTAACACGCTCACACCATTTGTCTTGACACAGGCCACACTCCAACACACACACAGCTTGTTCGAAAAACAATCCCAGCTCATCAGCTGACAAGCTGAGCAGGTGAATCTCTGAAGTCTGACAGAAAATTAGGCAGTGTACTCATAATGGCCACACTTTCTGCTGCAGAAAATCCTCTCCTGCTGGGGTGTCAACTGCTTCCATTATACAACGCTCATGGTTGTGTAAGGAAGCTCAGAGTAAAGCTCAGGCATAAAGTCATACGCCACTAAGCTATCCATCAATCTGTACGCTCGCCGTGTCTGTCTTTGGTCTATTCCAGTCTGTTTGATCTGTCGTTCTGAGCTGCAGAGAGTCTCACTGAGTGACAAGCTCACTTTTCTCAAGGAACAACCAAGAAGTTTCGCTGTCCTTTGTAATAATCTTCAGCTCAGAGTCAGATTTCTCTCATGCTATCAGCTAAACTTTAGTCGCTTAAGTTCCTGTGGTGAAAGCCGAACAGCTCCTAACAACGTAACTCTGATTACAAAGGCCATGTTTATCACCAGCTGCCATGAAAGGCAGGTGGGCATGTGTCTGTGAGCGTTTGTTTGTTTGTTAGCAAAATATCTCATGATCCACAAGACAGACTTAAATCATACGTTCAGAAAATGATGATGATGATGATGATGGCTGCCAGAGCTAATCAACTTTAGTAATAAAAAACAGTGAGGATTTGTGTAATTCTTGTCTCTTCTGTCCTGTCCAGTGTTCTCCCTCTTGTAATCAGCTCCTGCCTCCACCACCTGTTGTCCTTCCCCAGGTGTTTGTTTGGTTAGCGTTAGCATCTGTTAGCATTAGCGTCTGTTAGTGTTAGCGTCTGTTAGCGATAGCATCTGTGTTTTTCGTTGTCTGGACAGTATCCTGTAAGCGTCCTGTTTCTGCCTCCCTCTGAGTCTCCCCTGAGTTCATGTAAGTTTGATGCATGTCAGCTTTTGCTTTTTCTGTA